TTTAAAGATCCGGTATATTTGGTCGTGAACTTTTCAGGAAAAATATTAGGAAAAAAATAAAAAAACGTTTACAATGTGAAATACTCGCCGCACCGATTTGGTGCACTTTCCATTTTTTGCGACTCTGCTACCTACGGACCAACGGAAAAGTACTTAAATTTAAGCGATTTTTCATGCTCAAGGTACCGCTAAAAAAAATTCAAAAATCTGAAAAGTTTTGATCCGGTAGTTTTGTTGTGATCTTTCTAGGAAAAATATCAGCGGAAAAAAATGTTGAGGTCATGAAATTATCATTCTCGCCGATTCCGCATAACTTCCATTTTTGCCGACTTTTTTTCGATGGGGGGAGTGGACCACGAGGTTAAGTTTGCTGGAAACGTGTTTTGGTATTTTGCATGTCACAAATGAATCTTAGGTCTGCCTGCATTTTTCTGGAAATCTATTTTTTGTTATATTGTTGTGACAAACGAGTCTTATGTCTAACTGCATTACCGTGAAAACTGGTTCTTGATAAAGGGCCACACAATTTGACAAAACGAACATTCATCGTGGTCTGAAACCAGGTAATGGTCCTAGTATTTCAAAAAAGAGGGAAAGGGGGGAGCTAGAACCGCTCTTAATAGGGGAAGGGTTGTTTGTTAAGGTAAGTTGGTTAGAAGGACGATGCTAGGACGACACAGGCTGGTGCTGGAGTTTTTGCTCCGTGACCTAGGGGGAGCTTGAGGACTGTGGAGTTATACCAAGGGTGGAAGGCATAACCGGACCGTCCAACGTAGCCGGCGCTGGGGTATTAACCCTGTAACCTGGTGTCAGGGGCTTGCCGTTACGGGAAATGTCGAGGGAGGAAGGCACTTCCCGTCCGTCAGAACTAGGTTGGTCAGTACTCGGGAAGGTTGTGGTGCCCTGTTACCCTAGCAGAAGAGGGTATGAGATCAAGTGAGTTCTGGTACGAGGACTGAAAGCCTGGACCGACATTCCGTCTGTTGACGGGGGGAGTTTTGGGTAGTAGGTGGTTTCAGTTTTGACCCTTTGCTCCCATGTTTTTTCAACATACTTGCAAGCAGACGGACCAGACGACCGTCCGGTCCGGTCCGCTTGTCCGCGTCCGGCACCCTCCCCCCGGACCAGACGGAGCCGGACCGGACCGGACCGGACGGGGTGCGGTCTGGGACTCTTCCATCCGGTATGGTTTGGTCCGGGACTTGAGCGGTGCCTTCCCCGTACCGTCTGGGTTGGTAGGGACCCCTTTTTTTTTTTTTTTTTTTTTAG